GTGAGGTTTATGGAAAACTTAGTATCTACACATATTCTACATAATATCCTAAAGCAGATATTGAAAACTGATGAACTGAAAACTGCAGCTGGTATCACTGCACTCTCTGACCACAAATTACCAGCAATATCGTGTTTTTCTACATAACCATATTCATTACTTCCCCTCCCAGTTCCTGGACTTAATTCAAACAAAGCATGAAGACTTTCTTCAAGTTGGTCTACATGATGAGCCTTCTCTGCATATTGGCCGAGAATTCGAAACATTTCTCTTTCAAGTGTTGAGGGATGACTTTCATACAAAAATGCCACAACCTCCACTGGCAAATGCTTTCCATCCTTTAATCCCTCTTCCAATTTCTTCCAAACTGAACTACTTCTGAAAAAGAAAAAGACACAGATAAAATGTCTTATGATTGAGGACTTTGCTGTGGATATTTTTCATTTCACTATGACTTAGATATTCGGCAAGGAGATAAAATATCAGCAGTTCATAAATATACACTCAAACACATACTGTGGTAAAGTTTTCAGCAGCTTAGTACAGTTATGGCCAACAGGAGGCAATGCAAAACAGAGGTGTGGCAGAAGAGCTTCTAACGTATCTATCTGCACACTCTTCCCCTCTCCATTTTTACTTAACACCTGGATTATCAGATCCAAAATTCTTGGCAGAGGAATGTGTTGCATCCACAGATCTTGCTGAAGTAACCCCTGAAATAGATTTATTATCAAATGCATTCTGAGAATTGCCTGACAGTTTGAACAGATCTGGACCTAACACAAACTAAGAGTTTACAGAATATCTCGGTAAAAAATGGAAAAAGAGAAAGGGGAATTTCATTGCCATATGTCATACTAGCTAATATAAACAAGCACACTGAACAAAAGTATCTTTAGTCAGCAATTTTTATTACAGTACACCCTACCTGCAATTGCTTCCTGTCCAGACTGTGGTTCTCCATTGTCATGTGAAGAGAAACATCTCCAACTAAACAGACTTACTCCTGGAGAGAAAACTGGTAGTATGAGAGATAATGAATCTGAAAAGTTTATGTAAATTAAATATTATTCTCTCAATGTATTAAACTTAAAGAAATATATATTTGGTATATTATACAAAGATCACAAGATACAGAAAAGGTTAAAATATGACAAAATAAATACATTATTGTAGCTGAATTGACAATGTTTCTTAGAAAGAACAGAAATATATCGAAAGTCCCTTATTGCATATTTTTCTTTATAATATTGGAGGGAGGGATAAATGGAGGAAAGGAGCATGATAGAAAAAAGTTTGAAAGAAAGGGGGGAGGGAGAGAGGGGAGAAGAGAGAGAGAGAGAGAGAGAGAGAGAGAGAGAGAGAGAGAGAGAGAGAGAGAGAGAGAGAGAGAGAGAGAGAGAGAGAGAGAGAGAGAGGAGAGAGAGAGAGAGAGAGAGAGAGAGAGAGAGAGAGAGAGAGAGAGAGAGAGAGAGAGAGAGAGAGAGAGAGAGAGAGAGAGAGAGAGAGAGAGAGAGAGAGGGAGAGGGAGAGAGAGAGAGGGAGAAGAGGGAGAGGGAGAGAGGGAGAGGGAGAGGGAGAGGAGAGAGAGGGAGGAGAGAGAGAGAGAGAGAGAGAGAGAGAGAGAGAGAGAGAGAGAGAGAGAGAGAGAGAGAGAGAGAGAGAGAGAGAGAGAGAGAGAGAGAGAGAGAGAGAGAGAGAGAGAGAGAGAGAGAGAGAGAGAGAGAGAGAGAGAGAGAGAGAGAGAGAGAGAGAGAGAGAGAGAGAGAGAGAGAGAGAGAGAGAGAGAGAGAGAGAGAGAGAGAGAGAGAATTTAAATATGGGATTCAATATTTATATTACTACCTGGACAAAATTAAACGGCATTCATGTTCCAGGAGAGGCTAACAAAGCTCCACCATATATACTCTGATTCCAAATTTGACTAGAAATCACATGCTAGGTCTGCAAGCATTTTCATGCCAGAATATACATGGTGAAAGTTTATCATCTTCATACAAGAATATCATCTTCAATTAGCGTTACTTCCTTATTACATCCATACCTTAAAGATGAACCCATATTAGTTTATACAACAGTAATGAATCTTGATGCATTTCTATTCAATTACCTTTACTATATTTACTGGTATAGTCCTTAGTAGGTGAGGAAGCAGCCAGCGGTCCAAAAACTTTGTGATTTATAAGCTGCGGAGAAAGTACATATAAGATAAGTTTCTCAGAACCACTCACTCTATTGTTTACATATATTATTTTTCATCTAAAAGAAGGCTATATGAAATTGGGCCTGTACCCAGTACTATACCTTGCATTTTGGTAAGAAATAAAAGGTTTCTCATAACAGATACTGGAAGGATATTGGTAACAAATGAACCACAAAAGTGTAACTTGTTCCCCGTTAACCTGAGTGTGATTACCTACTTTAATTACAAACACAACTTGTTGACAATAAGCATTTACTTCCAGTTGCAAGTTCAAAGACAAATATCTCCAAAATTTCACTCACACTAAGCTCTATTTATACCCTAATGTCTTCGGGTAATGAGTTCAACGCCAGAGCTCACGGCACTATGACAACCATCTAGTTATAACCAATAACAAATACACTTCTACTCAGGGGCTTTCAGCTCACAAGACCATAAATATCAATAATTTATCATTACTTATACTTATTTACACAGAGCAACTTTTTGACGTCCCGCTCCTATGACTCGTTTTGTTGTTTCGTTTTCTTTTCTCATAGCGAATTTTTCAAGCGGTAACTCCATCATTTTGATTATTGAAAGTAACAGTTTGAAAGAATAGATGTCACCTCATTGTCTTACATATTCATACGGTGATTGGGATATGGAATATGTTAAAAGAATTCTGGAGGAATCAGAAATTTGGAGTTAAAAATAAAACAATTCTATTATGTGGTATCTACTATTCCCGGTGTTTTTTTCATAATAATATTTCTTTAAGGTTAGAATAACCCAGATGGGTTAACCTGTTTTCAAACTTGATCTGTTATAATCATCATACGGATTTATAAAGAATTTTGGAGTACGAACGGGCTCGTAAATTTCAACCTTTACTTCCTTTCCCGGCAGCACCAAAGCATTGATTTTGAAATATCAGATTATCAGTGACAAACAGAGCCCTATCTTTTTCCTGAGAGCTTTTCTGGAGATTTTAGGTTGCATCTTGTTTCATTTTGTGTATCGGAAATATATTGATTTTCTAATTCTCAATTTCCAAATGCTTATTAGTGATTAAAAAGAAAATTGAATTTCCCGCGAGGAACGTCACCTAATGAAGTTACCGCTTAGCGTTATACTTTATTATATTTCAATATTCATTCGTCGTATTTTTAATATCTAGTAAACACATTATTAAGATATCGATATTTTTTCATTTCTTTACATTCAAATAAACTATATATGCACATAAATTTCACTAATATACTTATAAACAAATAGACAACTTCATTGTTGATCGTACTGGACCAATAGAAAGACGACTTACGTCATAGGTTACTCTTATGTAGTTAATTTATATATGTGTGAATTTCGAATGAATATCGGTATTTTTATATTTAGTACATAGATTAATATAAAACTTAGATAATCAAATTATCTAAGCACACAAGAATTTATATAGTTGGAGTCGTAAAATGTTTTTACAAGCAACATTCATGTCATGAGCCGGATATAATAGAGTATGAGGAGGAGCTATTTGCTACACGAATTGAAAACAAATTTGAAAGAAAATGTTAATATGATCTATTATTTAACAGCCTAGTGGCTTATTTTCGAAGTTGAGCGCCTTTAGACCATAAAAGGTAAGAACGTAACAGTGCTTTGACCATGATTAGAATTGCTAAGGAACTTAAAACTGAGTAGGAACAATCTCATTGGCAGTTACTTTTTCGGGGAATTTTGATAAGCTAATGAACATTGCTCCGTTAAAATATATATAAGATATGCGAGTTAGTTACAGATATTTGTGTTCAGATCATGACTACCGGCTTGTTTGAAATTACTTATACTAGATATAGGGTTTTTAAAGTCATTTGATTATGCTGATTATTATCCAAACAAACATGGTTAAGCTAATTTTGTCTGTCTAATTGTTTCATTCTCATAGTCATTCATGATAGACTTACTACGTAATCTTTATTGGATGGCATTTACAGATCTATGTAGGCTCAAAGTCAAAGAAAAATTAACAAATCATTAAGAAACGTTACTGATATTCTGTAGTCTTTGTAGTAAATGTTTTGCTAGGAGTCTTATGCTGCGTTCGGAATTCCTCGTCTTGCTCATCCAGATAACTTGTCCAGGACCAGCAGGACAAGGAGTCTGTGTTTGGAACCTCCAAGACCCTTTCTGCCCAGAATGCAACTGGTTCGAATGTAAACATTTACTTTTTTATCATACTGGTCTTTGTTTCACATGCTGCATAGGTTTTGTAACTCCATTGATGCATATTTAATTTACCTGCAACTGACAAATACAAAAATATCCTTTGATAACATCAACAAAGGGCCATAAAATTACCCATCAATATCTTGTGTTAGCCTGCAACTGTCAGTATTTACATACAAAAGTTATTGTGACATCATCTTGTCCTGCTCACCCAGCTTCACTGGAGGGCGAGATAGACGAGATGGACAAGGTCAAGAGATCTTGTCCAACTGGTCTGGACGAGCAGGACGAGTAGTTCTGGATACAGCATTACAAACCATGTAATTGTCTGGCCTCAGCAGTACTTTAGAGAATTACCAATAGAATAAATAGTGGAGGGCAAAACAACAGTAGGTTCATTTTATGAGTATGTTCATACCAGTTCATACAAAAGATACCAGTAAAAATGTGTGGGGAAATATGGAAGCAGGAAGTAGATAACAAGAGCTAACATTTATGTTTAGGAAATGTTTAAATAAATCACAAGAAAAGATAAATTCCTTACAGGAAAATTGTTAGTTAAATTAAAACATTAAAAAGATTACCCAAACATTTTAGAATGTGGTTGGATGGGTAGATATTCATAGCAATTAATGTTTATGGATGTGTATTTGATGATAAGACCACTGATAATGATGTGAAACCATCAGCTGCAAATGAAGCTACAGTTAAGCTCTCTTTCATATTGTTGTGAATATAGGGCTAATCCTAAAGAATTATACACAGGCTAATTGTAAAAAGTTATACTAGTGTTAATGAGAGTGTTTCTTTTGGTGATGATTACAATTGTTGTTGTTAGGGATGTTGTTATTGTTGTTCATTCTTTTTGGTAATGATATTCATTTTTATTTCATCATCATTATTATTATTCATCAATCATCATCATCATTATTCATCCATCATCATCTCATCATCATTCATCATCATCATCATCATCATCATTATCATCAATCATTATCCTTTAATATGATATGCAAATACCTGGATGCATATGAAATACTTGTTAATGTCTTTATTTTTATTTCAGATGGCATCAACCTTGGAAAGTTTGACTGCTGAGATCTTACGAGGTATGGGTGTTGGATCACTTTCTGAAGTAGCAGCAACCTTACCGAGTGCTCTTACAACAGGTAGGTGGCCTGAATCATTGTTCTGGTGAAATGCATGTTATTATTTTTATTATTATTACCATTATTATTATTATTATTATTATCATTTTACAAATCTATCAACTTTTCAGGAGGAATACTGATACAAGAATTTGTAGTACATGTTTTAAGTAGTATTGTACTATTAAATACTGGACACATTTTAATTATTTCAGATGTAAACATCAGTGCTGCTGAAATGGAGCTCAAAGCTGGCCGGATAGAAGAAGCGTTTCACCAGCTGTCTCTCTCACACTCAACTCTCCTTCACCACCGAATGGCACAGCGACTTCATAAACCAAAGTTAGTCTCAATAAAGTCTTGGTATTGATGTATTTATTTTTCCATCAGGTGCTACTTGAATATATACATGTGATTTTTTGCATTTTATTTAATATTGAATTGCTTTGGTAAGTAGTTATCTTTTGTATATTATATAATATATATATGTATTTCAGTTCTGCAGTTGAGGAAAGTACATATGATTATAAACTCAACTGACATGTTTTCCTGTGTATCTTTTGTATGAGAATGTTGGTATGATTGACTTACATATATTCCAGTTATAATCTTTTTCATTCTAGAAGGTCAAGTAAAACATATTGCTTTTTTCTTAATGGATAGACTTTGCAGTGTGTTTTAAGAAAGAGTGCTTTTATTCACAGTAAAAACAGGACAGATGATGAAGGATACGATAGCGATTTGAACTCCATCTCTATTGACAATGAGAAGATGACATTAGCCACCACCAAAAAAGAGGGTACAATTGATTTACTACAAAAACTCCCCTCCGGTGAGTTCACCCAGCTATGTGACAATTTAGTTGATGTGTAAATTAGAAAGTGGTGTTTCTTTTACAATTTTATATTTGTACATCTATTATAAATTCCTTACTTTTTTTTAGATTGGACCATAGTACAAATAACATCAGCCAATGTAGGAGAGTGCAATCTTCGAAAAATAGGTGATCATCCTCCAACACCTCGATTATACATATCCCGCTGCACTTGTGGTCCACAGCCTACAATTGCTATACAGGTACTTTTAAATTGGGATGAAAGAATGTAGAAGAACCATATTTATGAATATGTTAGTAATTTATTACCTCTGGGTGTGTTGTAGCTATGTCTTGCTATGCAGAGCATTGCTGCCACACCAGGGGCATGTATGTCATGCCATCAGTAATGTAGTTAAGTCAGTCTCTAGTCTTTCTGTCTTATGTACTTTGTGTCATGGTGACTGAATGGTTTTGTGGGAGCCTAGGCAAACAAATATCACTTGAACCTTGTATTATCTAACATGTCTGTATCAGAGCCACAGATCAAGACTTTATCTGTATGTTTGTAGTTTGAAAACAATTGTACTGGTTCCACACATTTCACATGCACCTATGTTTGTGATGCCTCTAAGTTTAGCTGGCCTGGAACTATTGGTTTAACTTTTAGGAAGTATTAGTTAATATTTTCTTAGATAGGAATACCATTTGAATAAGAGGAATATATGTTTGAAATCAAGTTAGAAGCTAATTGGAAGAGTGACATAACTTATTTACTCCAAAAGACAGTGGCAGCTCCAAGAGACAAGGGTGTACGAGGGATCTTAGAGGAGATTGAGCTTATTAAAGAGGAGAATAAACTCATTAACCGTGACTTCAGAAAGCAGGTACAGAAATATCATGCCAAGCGGGAGGAGCTGAACAACAGATTAAAGGTAGGATTTTTTGCGCAACCTTTAATTTATCTATTTTCTTTCATTATTCACTCAAAGAAAATTAAGTCATGGAAGAATTTAATTATTGTAATTTGTTGATAGATAATAAGAGAAAGAAAAAAAAATCACTGAAGTTATGGTAATTTGAATCAAGTTTGAAATTGAAGATTGGACTAATTTTGAAGTAAAAACTAAATGAAAATGATACAAAGGAAATAAGGAATGAAACAAAACTTCTATTAAGAAAAGTTACTTTTAGATGCCTTTTTGTTCAACAGTGTGTTGTAAAGTCTATGGAAGTAGCTTGGCTGAAACACTGGTGCTGCTTGTTGCCTGGAGGTCTGGAGCCCAGAGATCAGCAGGTACTGAAGGACACCATACGTCGTATTTTAAGTAACTACAAGGGGTGTCTAACAGAAAATCAACAGCTTCTACTGCAGGTGAGAGATTAAAATTGAGGAAAGATACATGTACGTAATATATACACATACCATAACTAATTATTCAATGTATCTTAAAATTTTTACTATAGAAGCAAATTGATCAAGTTATGCATTAACTTGGATATGTTTACATTCAAAATTGAAGTATTCTTTGAGTCTTTAGACTGCAGCTAATAAAAACATATATGAAATTAAGATGATCTGAGCCACTTAAAAGATAGACTAGAATATTGAACAGGTTCTATGTTTACTCAGTTTAAGTTAATTCATTGTTATCATTGACAACAGTATTACATCCACAGTACATGATAAGCTGCCCAATACCATCAGAGAAAGCAGGGAGCATTGAAGGAGGCTCAGGAATAAGCCTGAGAGCTGGCATTGCTGTCATTCTGGGAGAGTCAGTCAGGAGTCAGAATGTGAAGAATTTGTATGCAGCCATCCAGAGTGAGGAGGCATCACTGGAGCAGTTACGTAGAGCTCCAAGAAACCCAGTTATACTTATCATTGACAAGGTAAAAGTAGGAAAAGTTTTTGTGTGTGTGTGTGCGTGCGTGGTGTGGGCGTGTGCGCACTGTGTGTGTGGTGCACCTGTGTGTGTTGTGTGTGTGTGTGTGTGCATCTGTGTGTGTGTGTGTGTATCTGTGTGTGTGTGTGTGTGTGTGTGTGTGTGTTGTGTGTTGTCTGTGTGTGTGTGTGTGTGTGTGTGTGTGTGCATGTGTGTGTGTTGTGGTGTGTGTGTGTGTGTGTGTGTGTGTTGTCTGTGTGTCTGTGTGTGTGTGAGTGTGTGTGTGTGTGTGTGTGTGTGTGTGTGTGTGTGTGTGTGTGTGTGTGTGTGTGTGTGTGTGTGTGTGTGTGTGTGTGTGTGTGTGTGTGTGTGTGTGTGTGTTTCTCTCCCACCCTCTCTCCTCCCCCTCCCCCTTCGGTTCCCCCATCCCCTTACTCACTCACTCATTCTCCTCCCTCCTTCATTTCTTCTGTAGATTCTTTATATTATGTTAGATGAGATGTTGAAAAAACGTTTATTCTCATTACAGAGTGTTGTGACATTACCTTGGGAGATGATGTGGGTGATGCATGACCAGCCAGTGACAAGGATGCCCAGTCTGAGGATGCTGGTTCTTTTGTATCAGGTATGTTGTGGGCTTTGAATTTGTTGCAGGAGTGGAAGAAAGAAGATAGGGGAAAAGTTAGATGAAGATGAAGTGGAGGGAAAAGGCAGGAAAAATGAAAAGAATAGAAAGAATGTGAAGAAGGAAAGAAAAAGGTGGCAAGAGAATAGAAAAGGACCAATTTTTTAAGCCCAAGCCACCAGGCATGGCATAATGCCCATTGTGTGTGTTGAATTTAGTAATTGTTTTTACATACAGATGGCTCCACAAGTACCAAGTCACAATGAGCCAATTATGCAAACTACCTGTTTCACCTGTTTACCCTTTTCCTTGATTTTCAGTAATATTTTCTAATATTTAATACTGCTGTTAGTGATGTCAGTAACAATATAGTAATTATAATGTTCATAACAAAATAACAGTGTCAATATTGATAGCATTAGTAAAAAAAAAAGTATTTTCCTGCTTTTTCAAGGAAAAGTGAGGTTGCAAGATATACTAAATGACTCCTTTGTGGCTAAGCATTAGGAGAGCCATCTATGTGCAGAAACATTTAGCCAAGCATTGCCAAAGGGAACACACCATCTTCCCGTCGACATTGGGTTAAAGATAGTACTTCTAGTGATGTGTTTTTCAGTGGTTGTAAGGCATGGAGTTCTTAGTGCAATTATTTTTGCTTATATTTTTTTTCTTTTTTGTGATTATGATAATTTTTCATTTTTGTTTTTTACTATATTGCATTGATATTCTTTTATATATTATTCATTAAATTTGCTCTCTTAAGTTTGGTTACTTATTTGTAGTTAAGACAAATATATTATGTGAGCTGGATTGATTAAATTTGCAGTTAAGATATTCTTATACTTGAGATAGGAACATTGAAACATTGTTGAGAAATGATATACAGCTTAGGTAATAGGTTTATGATGATGTGTTACCCAACTCATAAAACACAACTCAATATTATGTTTGATCTCACTCTATTCAATTTCTCATAGTTGCTTGTGTTTGTTATGCTTTATTTTTCATTTCATTTTTTGTTCATTGCTTATCAATTAATAGTACACTTATTTTTGTTTTCATCTCTTTGTCATCCTCCCCAGCATCACTCTTGTCGAGTCAATAGTGTCCTTGTCCAAGGAGTAGATTCAAGTAAGGGTTTCTTCCTAGTTGACCCTGACAGTAACCTACCCAGTACTCAGGAACGTGTTAAGGGTCCCCTAGCAGAGACAGGTTGGCAAGGTATCACTGCTCGAAGACCAACACATGATGAGTTCAGGGAAGCTATATCAGCAAATGATTTGTTTGTGTAAGTTGCCTGGGGAAAGTATTATTGAATGTCTTTTTTTCTGGTCCCCAAAATTGTGTATTGAGAGGAAAGTGTGAAACAGATATAATAGGATTATTTTGGTACAGTATATCCTCTTGATTAGTTCATATTTTCTTCTGTTTGCTCAGGCTAAGGCATTGATCACTAACATAATCTAAAAAGTGTTACAGCTGCAGGGATATATTTAAAATCTGAGTATTAATCATTTGTTCTATAGAAATTTCAAGCACTATTTACTTTATAAAATTATAGATAGAGAAAATATTTACAGTTATATTTAGGGTCTTACATATGTACATTTGTATATATATACTTTTTTCCTTTATGGACAGATACATTGGTCATGGATCAGGGAGTCAGTACTTGCCAGGGGAACTAGTTGAGAGGTCTGAATGTCGAGCCCTTGCTCTCCTCTATGGATGCTCCTCAGTCAGGCTAGCTCCAAGGGGTCGTATACCTGACCCATGGGGTGTTGTCCTGAATTATCTCATTGCTTATTGGTGAGTATTTTGTATGGTTGGTGACACAGTGTATATTGTGTATATTGATAACATGTTTATATTATAAATGCTTTAATGGAATACTAAACACTTAAAATGTATAATGGGAGATCTTATGAGAAAAAAATAATCAAATGTGGTAAAATATCTTTGCATATCACAGTACAGTATATCATGGTGAATACATAAGTCCTTAATTTATTGTCTAGGGCTAATGGATTAAAGGAGAAAATGCCTGGTATATACCATGATATTTAAACCTCATATAGCTTACAAAGAGGTGAAAAATGGATACGTAGATATGAATATAAAATGTAAAGAAATTTGGATAAATATCAGGTACAGTATACAAGGCATATACACAGTGTAACACTATATAGGCAGGATAATTATAATGATATGGCAGGGTGTATTCTAACAATACTTCATCATACATAAAAACACAATACTAGATTATCATCATTGTTTTCAGTCCATGTGTTGTTGGAATGCTGTGGGATGTGACAGACAAAGACACAGACAACCTGACTCTGGAGATGTTACGAGCCCTTCAAGGCATTAATGGGGTCCCAGGATCCCCACTAGCAAACCCACCCTCAGACATCCCACTGTTGGTTGCTCGATCGCGGTCCATTTGCCGTTGGTACCTAACGGCTGCGGCACTCACTGTGTATGGGCTACCTCTCCACGTGGTCAATAGTAATAGTGAATGATATTTTTACTTATTGATTTTATTATGTATTTGGAAATGGATATCTTCTGAAAGATACTATGGTCATCTTTTTCACATTCTCAGGAACTTACAGCAGGAATGTGAATTTGTAAATATTTATGTGTATTTTTTATCCTTTCTATTCTCTTCTCATTATTTGTATGAATCCACTTCTAAAAAGGGACACAAGTTTCTGTGCCAGAAATCTGTACAAATTTTATGTACTGAGATTGATTGTATAGTCATATTAAAAAATTATTTCAGAAAATTAACTCTATAAATATATATTTTAGGAACAGTATGAAGTAAATTTTATATAGTTTTATTTTGTATGGAAAGAAAATATTGATTTTTTTCTTTACTACTGAAGGAAGCTCATGTCAGATAACTTTTGAATCATTATTATGGTATAAATTATCTTGTGATAATTTCATGTCTTGATTGTATATTGGATGATATGTAAGATTATGACAGAATTTCCCCTGCTCAGAGAAAAAAGAAAACCATTCTAACACCACAAAGCAAAATTCGATCTATTAAGTTGATATGTTGTATTATTGGTTTATACTGTATTCTTATAGATTTACAGAAAATGTGTTGTATAAAAGGAGGAACTAGTATATCATGATTTTGGAGTCAATATATATATTTTTAAATTAGAATTGAAATGATTTTCTCTCTGTGTGTTGTTAAGCACCTACACAAATGTTCAGTTAAGTACATGAGAAAAAGGTAGACTTATTATACACATTTGTTTTTTATTTAGTGATTTTGTATCATTTTAAAAGAAACATCTTTTGTACATTTCTTTCCTTTGAAAATAAAATATTTTAGAAATGATATTAGCATCTTGATTTCTAAACCATTTAATGAAATTTTTGTATAAATTTATCATGAAATGTAATAAATATATGCAATGAAGCATTGCCCCACTTGTGAAGCAACTTGTGCCATTATTATCAATTTTTTTATACCACATTATCACAACTCTACATGAAAACTGCTGCAAGATATAGCCAAGATAATTATTGCTGCAGTGGTTTTAGTGGTACAACGCATTTTACATTAAATATGGGTTAACAAAGGAGATACATTACTAAATATTGTTTTGTAATTTATTGTCCTGTGATATATTTTTTGATAATGAGCTAAAATTCATGATTGTCCATTAAGTCATCATCATGGCCATCCACCTCTTCATAATCCCTCTCTAGCTGGGCCATGTTCTCTCGAGCCTCAGAAAGTTCTGCTTCCTCGAGACCCTCACCAGCGTACCAATGGACAAAGGCTCGCTTGCTGTACATGAGATCAAATTTGAGATTTACACGTGCCCATGCTTCCCTGAAGGCAGTTGTGTTGGCTAACATGCATACAGCTCTGTTAGTCTTTGCCAAGTCTCCTCCTGGAACTACAGTTGGGGGGCCAGAATTGATGCCCAATTTAAATCCAGTTGGACACCACTCGACAAACTGGACGGTCTTCTTTACTCGAATAGCAGCTATGGCTCTCTGGACGTCATTAGGTATTACATCACCACGATACAATAGACAGCATGACATGTATTTGCCATTGCTGGGGTCACAAGTAGCCATTTGTGTGGAAGAATCAAAGCAGGCATTTGTCATGTCTGCTACAGACTGTTGTTCATGGTTTGCATTGTCAGCTGATATAACAGGTGCATATGTAACTATTGGGAAGTGAAGACGTGGCAGTGGCACAAGATTAGTTTTAAAATCCCTAAGATCAACATTAAGATCTCCATCAAAGCGTAAGGAAGCAGTTGATGCAGATACCACCTGTGCAACATGATGATTTAAGTTATTATAATTTGGACGACCAACGTGTAGTTTGTTGATGCACAGGTTGTAAGTAGCTTCATTGTCAAACACAAAGACGCAATGGTCATATTCCATGGTGGTGGAGGCATGCAACACAGCATTGTAGGGCTCGACGACTGCAGTGGACATACGGGGCGAGGGGAAAACGGCAAACCTTAGCATACTGGGACTTGTGAACTCTTCCATCACTTTCTCTAATAACAGCGACATGAAACCTGACCCAGTGCCTCCGCCAAATGAATGAAAAAACATGAAACCCTGAAAGAAATGAAATTGTTACATTTTATTTTCATTAGTAAAAACAGAAGACGTAAACACTATAATAGTATGTTTATATATACCAATCTATTTATCTATGTCTTTGTGTAAATATACATAAATGGTTCTTCTGATGCATATTTTACAAATATGCTTTCTAAAGAAGATGTTTATGCATATATAAATATTTATCAAAACTAAAATATCCTGTAAGTTAGAAAAAATATAAACAAGCACAGGAAACTGCAAGATAATGGAATGAATAACTACTACCTAATTACAAAATGAGGCTTTAGGGGTGTTTCCTTTGGTAAGAATAAACTTTAGAGACAGACACAGAGAACCTACGCCAACGAATGCTATTGTTTATATCAATGTTCATTACAATTACATTCTTAATTACACGACTGGGTATTAGCGTTTTATATAATTTCGAAAATAAAATTTATTTTGTTCCATTAAACTGTTTGAAATTATCTTGAAAGCAGGATTTCTTCCTATTCCTATCTCATCTCATCTCTGCATCCCTTTTTCACCCATTCCCGCACAATCATCAGGTATAATGCCCTAGATGACCTGTAACGACGGAAGCTCACCTGTAACCCAGAACATGCTTCCGCCTGCTTCCTTATCCGGTTGAGGACTTTGCGCACAACCTCCTGTCCGACGCTGTATCGGCCGCGGGCGAAGTTGTTTGCTGCGTCCTCGGTGTGAGTGACAAGGTCGTCGGGACGGAAGAGGTCCCTGTACACGCCATGCCGCACCTCGTCTGTTTGAAGGGATTGCAGTAGATGATGAGTGGCAGATTTACCGACTCGTGCTATTGTGTGCCAAGACAGGAATAAGGGCTCATTGGCTTTATTCCTTTGATTTGTATTTGAGATTTTATTCATTGTCAAAAGTCCGAATATGAAACGTGTAGTAGTTTGAAGTCTTTTCTAAACTCATTTATCTCCATAAATAGTCCTGGTTGTACTGAAAGTAACAGTAATTTAATCATGACTTACTGGTTGGACTATTATTGTATATTGCACACAGAAGTTTTAAGCCACCATACTAGAAGCAAAGTGATCAAAGACACAAGGCACTAACCCACAACAGATGGTTCGAGGTCAACGAAGAGCGTTCTGGGCACGTATCGCCCCTCCTTCGTTTCGGAGAAGAAGGGGTCAAGATTGCCGTCGCCACTGCTCAGGGAAAAAATAATTGAATTAATATCTATAGATCGCATGTGATTGAGAATGCATGTATCGGAAATACAGTCTCAGGGAAAAATATCCACTCCTCCTCCCCCATCTCCGTCTCCTCTCCTATCATTTTATACTTCTCCCCCTCTTCCTCCCCCTGCTTCTCCTTTCCCGTTCTCTCCCCTCTTCATTCCTCATTTTCTCCCTTTCCCTCTTTTTATTTTAACCCTCTCCCCCTCTACGGTCTCAGCACAAACCTACTAATCATACGGTACCACGTCAAGGTAGATGCTGGCCCCTCTCCCTCTTTCTCTC